TGATCGAGCAACTTACAATCGCTGATGTTAATCGGCCGTGCATGTCCTTGTCTCTGTTTTTACCTGCTGAATTCGAATACAAGCCTGAAGGCAAGTTGAAGCTTGTCAGAGATAGTTAATGACATTTGTTTCACACACATACACGTGTTTAAACATCGAATAAGTCTATAGTATAGTGTTTTGTAATTATAATTTTGATGATAACCGTTTCAATAGTACTTGCAATTTCTGTATATAAATATTTTTGATACTGGTGTAATTTCAATGAATCGTATATCTATTTTTAGTTAAAAATATGTAATTGTACCAAAACTCGGGTATTCTAACTTTCGTGATTGTTTTATATTCCGTTTAAGGCCTTTTTTTGCTTTTATTATGTCAAAAGCTTTATATCTTTGACTTTTGATTCAGACGGTATCTGATGACGATTAAACTTTAGATATATGTCACAATAAATTGATTCCGTTTGTTTCAAACTGCAGTATATATTGCTTTCGCTATAGAGAATAAAATTATGTTTCCAGATACGTCCAACGAATGAAAAAGCAATTAAAACTTGTATGATTTCATGCGATAGTAATTATTAGCAATCTGGCGATTTAATAATTGTTATGCACACAGCATGCACTGCCATGCAGCCTGTTTCATCAACCAAAGTAAGATAATATTTTCCTCAATTAAACGTTCCGGGTTTTTAAAAATTGCAACATTTGGTTTCTTACTTTAATAAATTCTCTAGTTCTCAGTATATTTATTCTTTTCTCGAGCTGATTATGCAGATAAACTTTGTGTTGAAATGGACACCGGCATAATTGCACTCTCGTGACTCTATTTCAAGAAAACTGTACTAGTCTCGATTCAGGAGTTACTGGTTATGCTTGCGCATACCAGACCTGCCCATGTAAATGTGCCAGAATTATCGATACCGTGACAGAAAATGTCCATATTCAAATGTTTCCCAAGATCTCTTTAAAAATTGCACAAAAACAAACAACTAAGAACTCGGTTGTCATTTTTTAATTTTATAAAAGATAGATATAAATAAATTCCAACTATTTTTGTACACCTATTCTTACATTTCAACAGATGCTGACAAATAGTTTAAATTATATATTCGACATAAAGATGTTCTGTTCATTAATTATAATGGATAACTCTCTTAAGCATTGTCATTTGAATGATTTTTGATTTTTACTACAGTTTACAATTGCAAGGCTATTATAGCGATTACTGCTTAAAATAAGGATAGTAATTTAAAGAATTCACTGATAAAGCAGGAAATACGCCTTAAAATTTGCGATTGCTCCCGTGGAATCATCTTATTTTTTCAAATCTGTTCTACCAAAAGAAAATGCTTGAAGAGAAGATTGTGTCAATTGTTCAGTACCATTCAAAAACCATAGCAACAAAAGTACAAAATGTTCATGTCAAGTATGTTTTTTTCCGGTTTTGCAATAATATCGATTTTTTTTAATATTATGAGCACTTCTACTTTTGAATTTGTATTTTGGTTTTCGAATTTTTTTGGCCTGGATCATCGCTGAATATGCATAAACCTTCGAAATGCGCATCTTGTGTTGTAAAAAGATCATTAATGTCATTGAGGCACAGTTATTTAAAATTGAAATAAAATTTATAGTATGGCTCATGATTGGACAGTTTGTGGCATTTGTGATTTCCGAAACATAAAACATAAAACAATCGTCAGTGGTATGGTGTTCGGAATATGACGACGGGCTTTGTGACGAGTGTAGTGGTGCGTAAAATCATCATGAAACCATAGCTTTATCTTTGTCACAGATTACCAGAAGCTTCCGAAAAAAAAGTATTAAAAATCACGCAAACATCTTTAAAACACAAAGAACAGTATCAAACATTTTGCAAGAAGCATGATTGTTCTTAGGTTCGTCATAGCAACACATAATGAATGTAACGATCTAAGGCAATTGATGACCTAGTGAGAAATATCAAGTCATCGAATGCAATTCTTGAATTAGAACAAATTCTGGCCGATATATTGGAAAGTGTACAAAGAATTCGTTATGACCGCAAAGAAAAGATTGCACATGATGGTAACCAAACCGGTAAATAAACAATGATCACTAAGACAAAGTTCAAGAAAATATAGTAAAAGAATTGTGTGCTTATGAAGAAAATGCAAGCAAGAAAATTAGGCAGTTGTTGTTTGAGGTGGAGATCGTAAATAGGATTTTAAACCTACAAGTAAATCAAAATTATAAAACAAGTGAAAGCACGCTTCAGAACTACAAACATGTTTTGCTTTAAGGCTCATTGACAAGGGGGTTTCGGACAAAGAAAAACTTATTCTGTCTGTTCTTAAAAGCATTGCCATGAAGATAGAAACCCTGTCTTTGATTCTTAATAAAGAAGTTACAGAATATTTGCCGGACCCCTAGTTTTAGGTCTGATTTTGTTCAATCAAAGTCGTCCAAAGTTGTTATTTGTGAAAACAAATGCCAAGAAGCGCAAATGATGGTACCTATTTTAATTTCCAAATATATCAGGGATATCAAACTTAGCAACAAAAAATAGTTTGTGTATTCGTATATATTGTTGGACTAATTTTGCTTTGCAACTAATAATTTTTTTAACACTGTATTTGGTATCATACCCTGATATTCATAAAAAGGATAAACATCGATTAAATAATATGAGGCAGGTGAAAGAGGACGAATTATATTAACTATCCATGTAAAACAGTAGTTCTCATTTTTTTGTCAAAACTCAATTTATGAAAAAACTTTGATTCGTATTACTAACGAAATCATTTTATAGGCCTAAACAATAAAATAACCGAGCTAAATGAGCTAAAATACGAAATCGCCCCGATGTTGATCATATTGTTATGCATTATCTTTATGAAGTCATTATCGATGAAAACAAAGAAACGCGCGCAACAGTTTGATTCAGGTAACATTTAATCTTAAAATCAAAATGTTCAAGTTGTGAAGTTGAAGTCATTCACCCAAAAAAATATTACGAATTCCATCTCCAGTTGATTGACCGTTTTGGAATCTCTGTTTCACAGTTGACGACGGATTTGTTCAAATTGTTGCCTTTTTCCTCGAATTTGACACCGAGTCATACACGTAGAACAGGGTCTGCGTACCCTTCTGGAACACCTTAGATCACCTCTAGCTTTGTTTAAAAGTAGTTTGTGTTGCTCTTACTTAAGTTTTAAGTATTTGTACTTTTCATTGTCTGTATTGTTTATACACGTAACAGTTTTGTCCATCCTTTGTCATGAAAAACTTGATTCAATATCACAATTTCACGTTCGGTTAAGTTTCAGGGTTAGAAAAGTTACATGTCCGATTGAGATGTCTTAGGGTTCGATAACAATCAATTAAGTACCAATGTGCTAATCATTTGATATAACTTGTCATCGTATTTTATAGGAGTAAGACGACAGGTGTCACATTTGCAGCAGTTACATGTACCTTCTCGGGGCAACCGAGATCACCACGTCTTATGGTGGGATTTGTGATTATCAGTCTTGAGCTTATGCTATAGTGTTTTGTATACTGTTGTTTGTCTTTTGGTCGTTTTTCTTCTTTTTTTTTGCCATGACTTTGTCAGTTTTTCATCGACGTATGAGTTTGAACATCCCTTTGGTATCTTCCGCCTTTCTTTTTTCATTCTATAAGATAAAACGAATAAACAGATAAACATGTATGGGAAATTTAAATTTACAATTGTTTAACATATCAAAGTTAAAAAACACAAGACATTTCTTTAATGTTAACAAGAACATTACACTAACAGTGTTGATACAAAGCATCTGACATTTTTTTAGTTGGTAAGTTGGTAAGGGAATGATCTGGGTCAATGTAAAAAAAAAGGCAAATTGATCAATAATGACAGCGATCCCTTACAGCATAAGAAAACGGTACCAATTTGAATAATTTATTGAGTTTCATTCAAATATCAACGCAATACACAATTAAAACATTCAATGTCTACTGTGAATAATAAGCCACGGATTTATTTTCATTGTCTAGCTGTTAATGAATATTCTTTTGATAGTCAGATACAACAAATTTGCGGGAAATCATATGATGGCCTGTCCTTATTTTTTTTTGCAAAGAAACGTCACCGGATACACTGTAAATCTAAGTGTTAATAAATAGAACACTGCTTGAACGCTTTTTTGTTACACTTTTGAACGTGTAATGGTGTTCCAAATGTTTACACTAGTGTTCATCAATTGAATGTGTGGTGTTCAGTTTTTAATGCCTTTGTGTTTCATTTTTGAACACTTGATGTTAGAGTTCTTAACACTTAGTATTCAACGATTTAACGTGTCCGAATGTTCAAAATCTTAATACGTCGACGCGTTCAACAGCCATGTAACACTTTTTGAACACATAAAACATGTTTAAAGCCAAAGTGTTAAGATTCAGAACACCAGACGTTAACTTTCAGAACAGTTGACATAAGTGTTCAAAGTGATGGTGTTCAAATGTGGAACATGTTCTATTTTCAAGCGTACATAATTTTCCATAAGTACTCAACTTAAATAAACTGTTATAAAAACTATATTCAATCAGGCAAAATATAACAATAAAAAATATTTTAACAAGTAATTCTTTATGTAATCAAATGAGCATATTATATGTAAGAAAAGTACACCAGATACCTTATGATATCACAAGTAACAGTCAGTGAAATCACATACATAATGTTTTTAAACTGACTTAATATATATCACAAATAATGATTTTCCCCTACATGACTAGATAGTTGCAACATCATTTGTATCCTAACCAAAAAAAGCATGTCAATGTGATAATTAGATAGTTTATGATATAGATATTTGTCACAATGAAAGTTTAAAAGTTTGCAAATTCAAACAGTTCTTGTACGATCACATACAATGTACGCTCCACTTTTCAGTGCATCTTTACTTAAAGCTATCAACTGGGTGGCATTTTATGTGTTGTTATCAACTTCCAATGTCAAAATCCTCCACAACAATGAATGTCTATGAGCCTATATATCCTGCAAAATAAAATTAAAAATTAATAGAAGAGAGTTTTTCATAAAGCATCAAATTATGCAATGCTTGTTATGCTTTAATGTCGATATATACTAGTGTACAAATTGATAATCTCTAGCAATGAAATGCAAGTTTTGACATTATAAATTACAAAAGTCGATTTCTTGACCTAAGGTGAACAGATAGAAATGATACACCCACATAAGCTATTAATATACATTTATTGTCATACCTTTTTTCGACATCTTTCTTTTTTCCACCACTTTATAGCATGCAGAAATGACCTTTTTGGGATTATTGGCTACCGGTTCCTAATTCAAACATTTTAATCTAACGATTCCTGCAAATAAAAAAATAAATGCATTTTCTAAGTCAAAAATGGTGTTCCAAATGTTTGCACTAGTGTTCATCAATTGAATGTGTGGTGTTCAGTTTTTAATGCCTTTGTGTTTCATTTTTGAACACTTGATGTTAGATTTCTTAACACTTAGTGTTCATCAATTGAATGTGTGGTGTTCAGTTTTAATGCCTTTGTGTTTCATTTTTGAACACTTGATGTTAGAGTTCTTAACACTTAGTGTTCATCAATTGAATGTGTGGTGTTCAGTTTTTAATGCCTTTGTGTTTCATTTTTTAACACTTGATGTTAGAATTCTTAACACTTAGTGTTCAGCTAATGTATGTGGATGTCGAAAATCATCATTTATTCTGTATAACAGACAGACTGTTTATTCATCAGTTTAGGAAATCATCAGAACAAAGCTGACAGTTATTTACGTTTATATATAAAGCCCGTTTTTTAATTCGTCTTTTACGTTGAATATTGAAAATTTGGATATAACAGTTATGAATATTTGACAAATATATATCTGGCATGAAAAAATAACAAGGAAGCCATCGAAATACCTATGGAGATTATTCTAACTTGTTACTTACTTCTTTCGTGTTCATATGGGATAGAAGTCCCTTCTCCAGTTCTCTTTCTTATGTGTATCCATTCTTCGTTTAACCGCCTAAATCGCCAGCCGATATCTGTTTCCGGTATTTGGTATCCTGGTATATTTTTTTTAACACGAGGTGTTCAAAATTTCGAGCGATTTGAACACTGATTGAACATGTAATGTTAATAAAATGAACTGATCATGAAATAAGATAAACATCGACATATTTTTATTACGATATTATCATAACAGGCCTCATTGATATGCATAATTATGTCACTTATAAGTAAAACTAGTATATATAAATAAATAATAAAATAAATTCATAAACTATACATATATGCCAGCTTGGAAGTTTAATATTTCACAATTACTAAAATATTAGCCAAAAATTCACAAGATCATCATCCTGCGTATACATTCATATTTTTTAAAGAATTTCTTTTTGAATTTGCCAATTGGAAGGATAGCAAATCGGACAAACGACTATCTTCTTTTTTAGATCAGAATTTGAACACCGGTGTTCACTGCGTCTGAACACACATGTTAATATTTTTAACACAAACGTTAAAACTTTGAACACGTCTCTAAGCATGAACATATGACGTTAAAATATTGAACATTCGGTGTACAAATTTTGAACGCGTCCGGACGCGTCAGGCGTCAGGTATATGTACAGTGTAGAATTGCAAATGCAAAAATCTGAAAACATTAATTGAAAGATTTTCGATTCATTAGTTTATTGATTTTTCTTTTGTTATCTAGAACTTCGTCCTCATACTATCATGTGATAATTGATAAACAACCAACACGGAAGCATGGAGCACATGAAAAATAAGTGAGATGATAGAGCGATGTTTAGGTCGGTTTTTCATATTTTCTTTGCTTTCCCGTTTTTTTTTCTTTCTTATTAGACTGTTTATAACAGAAGTTGAAAGATTTTGATGTTCTGGAAAGATTTCTTTTAGAATCGATTAACCATTTATTTCTTCCACATCTTTTCTTTTATCACGGGTTTCCTTTTGCACTCGTGCTGTGCGATTTTCTGATTTCCTAAGAAAGGTTTTGTTGTTTATATCACTGAATACGGGAAAGCTGTCGGCGAATTTGAGTACTGGTTACCAAAATTCAAAAGCAACATTTCCGAAGATCTTGATCAAATTCAGAATTTTCTTTTAAAAGAAAGTTTTTTTTTTAAATTGAGAATGGAAATGGAGAATGTGTCAAAGAGACAACAACCCGACCATAGAGCAGACAACAGCCGAAGGCCACCAATGGGTCTTCAATGCAGCGAGAAACTCCCGCACCCGGAGGCGTCCTTCAGCTGGCTCCTAAACAAATATGTATACTAGTTCAGTGATAATGGACGTCATACTAAACTCCAAATTATACACAAAAAACTAAAATTAAAAATGATACAAGACTAACAAAAGTACACTTTTTTGTATAGTAAAACATAGCAATTTAAGTATATGAAACATTTTATCTTTTTTTTTGTTGAATTTGAAGGATCATATGACTTTAATATTCAGTTCTCGTGGTATTATTGTCGATTTACAACATGAAGTTTTTAACGACTTAAACGATAGGTAGATGATACAAAAAAAAGTGAATTTTTATATTTTTCAGAATGATAAGAATTGTTAGACATTTCACAAGAGTTATAGGCCTGAAATTGGTTACAGACTTATTAAAGACCTCGATGGGAGATAGTAATGTCGATGGTACGTTTATAGTAAGAATACTATTACAAATGTGTATTAATAGTCTCAGGGTTCTACAGATTACTACTTATCCTCTATCCGGAAGTTGATGTGAAAATGTTAAAACATATCTCAACCACATTTTTGTGTTCATTTTCTTGCGCGTTAACTTCAAATAAGGGTATTGATCATTCGGTATATTCGGTTTAAATCTCGTTTTAAATTCATTTATATGTTTTCAGATGGTGGTAGACGAGCTTCCAGTAGAATAACAGGTGATATATGTATAAGCAAATCATAATTGAAACTACATTATATTTTTTCATCAGTTTTTATACTTTTAATTAAGTATTAAATTTTAATTATATAAATGGAAAGTATCTACAAGATGTTTATTTAACTTAGATTGTAGAATTAGGTCTCTTATTGGAGGGATACTGATTGGTCCCTATTCATTTAATAATCTGGCAACATTAAATCTAGTGGACAGAAAAAGTAAGATACAGAGGGCGGGGGTCACAGGCATCCTCCGACTTACAACACACGCATAACGATATGGCGGGATAAACAAATTACATATTTGTACAAGTTTTCAAATAAATATCATTCATAAGTTTGTTTTCCGATGTAAAATCGTGACTTTTAAAGCAAATAATGCATGTTATCATACCTCATAGTATAATTTTTTCGTTTTAATCGGTCCGGTGAATAACCTCGACAAATTGTACCGTCCAGGAAATAACGGTTAGCAAGGTTGACAATTTGGGATATCCCCCTCTTTTGAGGGCCGTATTGTACAATGTTCTCAGTCATGTAAAGTAGGTTCTAAGCAGTATTTTACCTTTGACCTTTACCCGTTCTCATCTAATTCGACTATAATCAGTGGTACAACGTTAGATATGGGTTAAAAATTTAAGTTTTGTCTACAGTAAAAACACTTTTACTTGCAGATGACTGGATTGACATAATACGATCATCGTATACCTTTGTGAAAAAAACGTTTGCTAGAGGTTATAGGAAAACTAGAAGACTTGATATTTAGGGATGTGTTGAATTTTCACGAGCTCCTACCGGCTATCACTGCAACAACTGACAATGACAAGTTAGACTGCTTGCTGAGAACAATTATACGCAAAGGAGACGATATATGCGAAAAGTTTGTAAGCTGCTTATGCGATGAAACAATTCTGAAAATACATGAAATCAAAGGTAAATTTTTATTAAACGCTCGATTTTTGGTGGGGTTCGGGATTCTTAGTCTTTAGTTTTCTATGTTGTACTTGATACGCTCTCGTCGTTTTTTTTTTCAATTTTTTTGCTATGATGTATATGTCAGTTTGTCTTCGACTTATGAGTTTGAATATCACTTTAGTATATTGCGCCTTTCTTTTGAAAAATAATGAAAAAATTTACTAGAAAACGTTTGCATTCACAATTAACGTATGTTTAAGCACTAGATGTATCTGCCCCTTTCCTTCCTATAATCTTATTCCTATATTTGAGTCATAAAAAATGTGATTTTTTTATCTTCAAAAGCATACCACAATTTTACCAAAAATCCTATTTTGCGATTCAAAGGTTCATCTGATATTTCATTTATAATTAATGTAATGCATTTTATAATATCCTGGTGCTTGTAATTATGTAAAATTTCTTTAAAACACAGAGAGGCAAACTATGCCTATTTTTTTAAAAAGAAATATATGTAGTAATGTGTACACATTAATTATTGTGCAAGTTGTTAAATTAATTTCAGCAAGACTAGTGTTAAGAAAGGGCGATCAACCAAGGAGAATGTTGACATTTTTGATGTTTAATTAATTTAATTTTATCTAAGACATACAATTTCCTTTTTTTTTGTTTAAGAGAATAAGGGGGTACAGCGGATGGGTCCTGAAGAACTTTTTATTCTTCATGGCAGTAAACTTGCCGTTCGGTATATTTATACTTTTTTTTTCTGAATTTGGCATGTCGACAATTCTCTTCCATGAACATGGGTGGGTCTGGTTTGCTCGAATGATGAGCTGTAATTCATGATCCGAGACTGGTCAAATTTTCTTTCTTTACTTATAACATTCACACAAACTTTATCCGCAAAAGTAATCTCGGCGTTGATTAAACGAGATTATTAAAAGGTGCAAAGGTATATTAGGCAAGAAGAAATTCCTAAAAAAAATCACACACTATTTAATTCGGTAAGGGATGAGTTGTGGATATAAAAGTGTAATTGTGAAAACGAAGGACATTAACAGTTCAAAAGCATTGCGCTGCGGCAGGTTTATTGATTATTTTGTGTAAATTGCTTATTATATTTTCCCGTGATTATCAAGTGCACCGTTTGTAAAGTACCCACTTAACGATTTTTTTTCTGATTTTGCTATACTCAATTAAGGTAAGACACAATTTTGGAACTACAACGAAAAGAGAAGTACTCTGTTTCTCGAGAAACGCGTATGGTTCTCTACTGTTTTGGCGGGCAACAAAATATATTCAAACAGACACCCAGTATTGACACCCTAAACAAGACAACAGATTGTTTGAAAACCCAAGAATATGTACAGTGCAGAAAATTAAATAGACTTATCATACTCTATAAAGTAAAGGTTGAACACACTATCGGTGAATTAAGAAAATATAAAGTTTCGTGGATTTTTAGGTGATAACCAATACAGTTTCAAATCTGTTTTGACCATTTGTGTTGAATTAGTCTGTCGTCGAACAGATTTATTTACATAACAAACAAATATTCATTTGGGTTTACTATGTATCTCTTTTGTTTTTATACCTCCGCTTTAAAAAAGTGAGGGTATACTGGTTTACCTCTGTCTGTCCGTCCGTCCGTCCCATGAATATTTTTCGTCACATCTTTCTCAGGAACTACATTACAAGGATTTCTGCAATTTGATTTCAGGGTTTATATAAGTCACTTATACCGTGTGATGCGTTTTCAGATTCCTCACTCAACAACTTCCTTTTTACCGAACACTTACATTTTGGAGGGGTATCATCAGTGATCAGTAGCTCGCAGTTTCACTTGTTTTTTTATATTTTGAGATGACCCCATGTTTTTCGTCAACTGTAATCGTGAGTCTAAGTGTAACCCTAGGTATAGACCTAGTTTCCGCAAATGTCTATTAAGAACCACATGAGGTCATTGATTACACTTTTCTTAAAGTCTAATAACACCTAGCTATTTTGTTATCGATGGTTATATTTCTGTAAAAATTATAGCATCTTCGAAATATCCCTAAATTCGCGAGAGTGAAATGACACGTGCAGAGAATTATTAACGATACAAACACTTTTATTAAAACTATTTAAATTATCTTGTGGCAAATTTAATTTTCTCTACACGTTACACATCATTGTAGCAACTCTCTGAGGTATAAACTATGTCCCAAGTTACTTTACTCTCTTACCTATAAATCCTTGACTAACGTTTGCTCGTTTCTAATTTTGGTACCTTTAGTACATACGATTAAAGTTA